TTAGATAATTAATGAAACATTTGTTGCAATTAGTTAAAACCAACTTGTATGCAATCCTTGTGAGCCAATGCAATGTCCAGATAACTCATCGGCTGAAACCCCGATAAAAACCTTATTGGCAATTAAGAAACAAGCTAGAAATTATAGTTCTAAGCAAGACTTAGAGCATCTCCAAGATACTCTCTAATAGACTCTCCAAGTTAAATTTTGGCTATTTTAGCAAAAAAATTCACTCCAACAGCCTCTCTATTGGGATGTCTAAGCCAAATGATTGGCCAAATTCATCTCCTCAATGGCCAAATTTGGCTATCCCAATCTGCCTTGCCATTGGTAGGCCCCATGCCGGAGAGGCTTATCTCTCTCCCACACTAGTACTACCCGTGCAGTTGACAGCAGTGGAGGACGATGCGGCGGCATGACGGCACGACGACGAGCATCATCCGCGGCCTCCTGCTTGCGGCCGCCGGCGTCAAGGGAGTGGAGAGAGAATCGTGCTGCCGCCGTCGCTGCTTCGGACTGAGATTGCTCCCCCAGCGGAAGCGTCGCCGCCTGCGCTCCCGGCCGGCCACATACGGCACTGCCGCCTCCGCTCCGCATCTCCCGGCCACATCCGCCGGCGTCTTCTTCCTTCTCGGCGAGGAGCGAATCAGCCGTCGCCACCCTGTGTCCGAGGCTGCCATCTGCTATTGACGTCATCGAGGTTGCCGTCGCTAGCCGTCGCCACCCCGTGCCCCCGCCTGCGCCGATTTGCCGCCCCGCGTCCGCCACCCAGTTGACGCTATTTTCTCTGCTTGTGTCGTGTGTGTGTGTGGCTAGTTTGGAGTTTGGATCAATTTAAGGTGGTTACTTGTTTTTGATCGTTCTTTTTGCGAAAATGCTCACACCCGAACGACTGGCGGGGCAGAGAAAAATCGGACGTTGTTTTTTGCCTGCCACTGCAGCATGCAAAGAATCTTTTCTTTTCTTATTTCTTCAAAAGATTTTTTTTATCGTAAACTATTTATCTAATCTACGATATAATTGCACCACTAAATTCGTTACAATTAAATCTTTACAATAAGACCACACATGATTATATTTCAACAAAAAATATTTTAGTTTTTTTATTGTTTTTTTAATGTTGCATGTGGTCTCTTTTGATGTTTCAACCAGTAGTTTTACAATGTTGCAGCTAGTGTACTCATGATGTTTCACTATGTATGGATCAAATATTGCAGTGGAACACGCTGTTGCAACAAATCACCCATATATTTTGGAAACCCTCTATTAAGAGAATTTGGTTTATTTTTTGTTCCACCAAAAATGTTTCACCTAGTGTACTCATAATGTTCCACTATGTATAGATCTAATGTTGTAGTGAACTAAAATATTTCATTGCAACAAAAAACCCACATATTTTGGAAACCTCCTAAGGGAATTCGTTTCGTTTTTTGTTTCACCTAGTGTACTTATAATGTTTCACTATGTATAAATCTAATGTTGCAATGAACTGAAACATTCTTTCGCTATTTGCTGAATCATTGTTTTTATATAAGGTGAAACAACACCCGATTTAAATGAGTGAAACATTTTCGATCTACTTAGCGAAACAATTCCGATATACCTGGTGGAACATCGTGCAACATTTAAAAATAATTCAATAATAAGCTATTTTTTTTCATCGGAATATATCCATGTGTGGTCTTGTTTTGAAGGTTTAATTGCAACGAATTTAATGGTATAATCGGATCATGATTTGGATAAGTAATTTAAAAGAAAAATTAGTTTAAAAGTAGTTTTGCACGTAAATCGGGTGCCGACGTCATGCTAACGTCAACGTCTGATTTTTCCCAGAAGCATCGGTCGTCCGACGCGTAGGCCCTTCCTTCTTGTTGTAGTTGATTGCTGGAAGATTCAAGATTTTTGTGTGTATAAATTGTAGTGCTCTTATCGTTCTTGCCATGGAGAAGTTGGTACCCATTTTTTATGCTTGTTTTTCTCGGCGGCCATGGAGAAGCGGAGAGGGGATTCTGCTTGTGTTGTGTGTGTGTTGGCATGTGGCCATGGAGAAGTGATTGGGAGGAAGAAGAAAGGGAGGAATGAGTGAGAAGCGGAGAGGGGATTCTGCTTGTATTGTGTGTGTGTTGGCATGTGGCCATGGAGAAGTGATTGGGAGGAAGAAGAAAGGGAGGAATGAGTGAGAGACTGACATGTGGGTCCCACTATCATAGACTTTTAACGGAGAGTATAGATGGAGAGGCTGTTGGAATGAATAACGAGTTTGACTTGCTAAATTAGTTGGAGAGCTAGCTATATGGATATTTGGAGAGTTGAATTTGGCCATTCTATTAGAAATGCTCTTAGTAGATCAAACTTAACTGATGTAGCACAAAGTATGAAAAGAAACATAATATCTCGACAATCAAGCCTTTGGCTGATTTTTAGAGTGGTGGATACCTTAGCTAATCTAATCTGGTAAAGCAATTTAGTCGATACCGGCATAAACCCTAAAACGAATCTCAGTCGATATGAGTAAATTGAGCTACCAAACAAGATTAACTAAGATATATGATAAATATGTGCTTACATTAACAAGATTAGAGTGTCGAAGCTCTAGCCCTGCCGATGCAAACAACCATAATAAGTCTTACTCCTCGTCTGAGATTGAAGCCGATACCCCAACTTGAAGAAGGAACTCGTCGAGAAAAGTAGAAAAGTAAAAATGGTAGCGATGCGCCGAAATTGTATTGATCGAGAGATAAATTACAATGAACCATGGTTTCGTTTAGTATAGAACAGCCAACAGTTCAAGTGCATGCAACTGGAGTGGAAAATTTGGGCCCATGGTTTCATCGTGCAACTGGCCATTTTTTTTTTTACAAATAGTAATAGATTCGTAACTGAATTTGGAGCTTGTTTGATCTGTTGCCTTGAAATATTTTAACTTACTAGAAAAAAAAATGCCCGTGCGTTGTAACGGGTGAACGCTATTTTAATCTTATTATACGGTTTAGTTAAGATGAAATATACTTTGGAAATTCGCATGGATGTATATTCTGTTTTTAGAAAATCATGAGCTGCAGTTAAGAATCCGATCGTCTTAAGTTAGCATGCAAGTTTTTATAAGAGATTTATTATACGACTCTTATATTTCCAAAAGCGAACGGACTTAAAAATTAACTCAAATACGGATATGTATTTCCAAAAGCAAACGAAATTGAAAACCAACTCATACACGGATGACGTACCAAATTACCGGTAAAAAACATCTTCAATTTTTATAATAGTAGACGATGATTTTGGAAACTATTACTCTAAACACTGTCAATGTATTTAAATAGTATTTTGTGGCGGAAGCAGCTCTATGATAAAAAAAAATAGAACAGAGATGGTCAATACCACAAAACACCCAATACAAGTCAGCACTTAGGGGTGAAAACGGTCACAGAAATTCCCGATCGACCGACCGAGCGCCGTTTTCGTATAAGGGTACCGTTTCTGACGGTACCTTTTTGGCTATTTTTAAATTTTGTTTTTTCTAATTTCTTTCTGCATCGTATTAATGTCTACACTGAGTAGTTTAGATGATAAATATGGTCAATTACTAGCCGATCGAGCATCGTTTCTGAAGAGATGCTACCAATTCTGATCGTTTCCGACCATTTTCACACCTTTTGAAACTATAGGTGCCGGAAGTGCTAAAATCGGCACTTATAGATCTTTTCCCACCTCCACGGACTAAAAACACAAAAAACTGGTGGCTTTAAGTGATTATAGGTGCCGGTTATGTAAAAAGAACGAGGTGTCGGTTTTTTTAAAAATCGACACCTTTTAAAAACTGAGCCGTGAGTCGAGCCGCCGAGCAGCAGATAAGGGAGGATAGCGTGCGGCGATGAGATAAGTCTCTCTCTCGGTCTCATCGCTCCTCTCTCTCTTGCGTCTCTCTCTCTCTCTCATCGTGCCTCTCTCTCTCGCGAAGCGGCGGTAGCACTGGCCTCCCCTTTGCCAGATCTAGCGGGAGGGGAGGCAACGACAACGGCGGTCTCCTACGGGTCGCGGCGACGGCGACGTCGATGGGCTTCGGATCCCACGGGCGACGGCGGTGTGCTCCCCACTGCCAGATCCGGCGGCCTCTCTGTCCACCTCCCCTCTCCTGCCTCGGCCTCTCCTCTCCATCTAGCGAGCAGCGGTGAACGACGGTGTCCTGGTGCTTCCGCCTTCGGTGAGCACCCGTGCCGACTTGCATTATCTTTCTCTCTCCCTCCATCTCGTTCTACTTTAACCCTATCTTCATTTCTAGATATGGAAATAGCTTTTATCCGCTGAATCTAGTCGACGGCGATGCGACTACATGATTTGTTGGTGGTTTTTATGATGTTTGATTCAACGATGTGAAAAACTGATGAACATTCGATCCATAAACTTGTTGTTGATTGTCTGATATGTAGTTTTTTCTTTTTATTTGGATTTTTGGATTTATTTCTGGCGCTTCGATGCATCGGTTCGGCTCAATTTGAGCCGAGCCAGATCTTTTTTTCAAATCCTATACCTCAAAGGTGCTGGTTGGGAAAACCAACACCTATGGGGGTTTCTCAATCGGCACCTATTAAGGCTTTTGGTAGTATTGGCTCAACAAATATAACCGAACACAACTCATACCGACATAGGCGCAACCGCATGCCCGTGGGCCCGTGCACGGCACAGAGTTTCCCTATGCATATTGATGTTGACAATTAGCATAGTCACTAAAGCGGCGAAGGGGACCGATATCAAGTGAAAGACAAACGATTGGAGCCTCGGCGTGAAGGGTTGCGTAATCACGAAATTAGAAGATGAAACTGTTGGTTTTTTTTTTTTTTTGACACGCCGATAACACGAACTGGATCCACCTAAAATTTTGCGGTGTTATGGTGTTGCCAACTACCTGATTTTTCTGTCACATTTCCTCTTTTTGGTGGATTCATTTATGTTCTTTGCTTTCTCTACACGGAATCCTTCATTTCGAGCACAAGAAACGCTTGTGCAAAACAACACCATCTTTTTTCTTTTGTTGTCCCACACGAACTGAAAATCCGACATGACTAGCATATGCTATATAGAAATCCTGGGCAGATTGGATGTCATTAAAAATCATTCCAACTTTTGGTTCCTTGGAAGCATCACATTCAGGTGTCCAACTTGAGGACTGAAAAACTGTGTGCTGATGGTTAGAATGATATCTCCATAGTAAGCAAATGCAATTGATGTTCTTGTACTTACACAGAATGGTGCACTCCATGATTTCTGCGGTGTGATGCACATTTGAGTTGGAGTAGAAATGTTCTTTACGGTTGATTCAGCGTCAGAAACAATCTCATGGGGCTGCAATGGCACAGCCATGCTCACCTCACCATCGGACTCAAAAAATAGTTGTGCAAGTCAGTACAGACCCAAATTAGCTCCAAACATTGAATCCATAGGGAAGTACAGAGCAAAAACGAAAAAAACAGAAGCTATATTGATACTTCACTGTGTACCTTATTTCAATGAATCAAATAACACATTTCTTTCTCCTCACTGCAACTGTGCTTGTGGGTGTGCGAGGCGATAGAGCACGGACAACTCCTAGTGTGCATGATAGTAGGCGCCACTCTCAGACTTAGGGGCGGAGTGCTTGTCGAACACCTTGAGGGCGACGAAGTAGCTGCTGCGATAGTTCCTGCAAAAAATATGGGTTCTGTGAAAATGTAGCCGAATAGTGTACACACTTGCTTATAGAAAATATGAAGCTTCACCTAGCGCAAATCAGATCTAGGTGTACGAGCAAATGCATTTGGCAATAGTTGTGCAAGTCAGTACAGACCCAAATTAGCTCCAAAACATTGAATCCATAGGGAAGTACAGAGCAAAAACGAAAAAAAACAGAAGCTCTATTTGAGAACATATCGAAACTTCACTGTGTACCTTATTTCAATGAATCAAACCACACATTTCTTTCTCCTCACTGCAACTGTGCTTGTTGGTGTGCGAGGCGATAGAGCACGGACAACTCCCAGTGTGCACGACAGTAGGCGCCGCTCTCAGACTTAGGGGCGGAGTGCTTGTCGAAGACCTTGAGGCTTGAGGGCGACAAAGTAGCTGCTGCGATAGTTCCTGCAAAAACTATAGGTTCTGTGAAAATATAGCCGAATAGTGTACACACTTGCTTATAGAAAATGGTATACTCTATATAATTCTAACTGAATCAAGTAGTTTTGAGACAAGATCAGAAGAAAATATACTAGAGCATGGACTAGCAATTTGTACAAAAAAAAAAGATGTATGTAGCCATGAATAGCAGGAGTTAGAAAATGATGGTACATTTCAGACCGTGTCTACAATCTGAACCAACTAACCAGACCTAAGCAAGCAAACATTTCAGAACATTTTTCAGTCCAACAAATATGAAGCTTCACCTAGCGCAAATCAGATCTAGGTGCACTAACAGATGCATTTAGCAATAGTTGTGCAAGCTAGTACAGATATTTCAGAACATATTGATACTTGTCACTGTGTACCTTATTCAACGAATCAAACAGCATATTTCTTTCTCCTCACTGCCACTATGCTTGTGGGTGTGTGAGGCGGACAACTCCCAGTGTGTGCGACAGCAGGCGTCGCTCTCAGACTCTGGGCTGGTGTTCTTGTCAAAGACCTCGAGGGCGATGTTAGCAACCTTCTTCACTAGAATCAAACAACAGTAGTTCTCAATACAACTTGGAAGTGTTTGACTAGAACAAGGTTTAATAAGAATGGGGATACAAGCTAATAGAAGAGACTGGATTGTCCTAGTAGCTGTAGTAGAGGTAGTAGCAAGAGAGGTAGTAGAGGAAGAGAGGAAGATCGACAAGGTTCAGCCTGAACCAAGTTGTCGCCGCCGCCGCCGTGGCCGAACCCGCCGATGCATGTTTGATCTCTGTACTGTTCGATCCTTGAAGTCCTTGTACTGCTGCCTTTTGTATTCCTCATCCATTGCTTGATTGGGCCTTGGCATGGATCAGCAATTGAGTCAGCCCATGTGCAGCCCAATGGGTTCCTGACAGGCGACGAAGCCGCCGCCGCAGGGAGGTGCTGCCACTGTGGCTGCGCCTGCGACGAGAAAGACGATGCACCTAGAAGCCCCAAGCTAACAGTGAGAAGCTGCAGCTAGTACTAGTCTCTCATCCTCATCATCACGCACGCCGGCAAGCAGGTGCGCCATCACTCATGCCGGCGAGCAGGTGCGCCATCACTCACAGAGCTTCTCGCATCAACCTTAGGTTTGGGAGGAATGGGGGAACCAGGGAATGGGGATTTTGGATTGGAGCTATGGAGGGGATGGACAGGGAGGAGAAAGGATGGGAATTTTAGACTAGAAGCGGGGTAACGTACAAAATGCACTGCGGAGGCGGGGAGTAAACTGCAAAATATATTGGCTAGGAAGAACGAATGATCTGGATCGAACATTTCGAATCGGACGGCCCACAATCGAGGTTCCGTTGTTTCATTGAAAGAGGGGGTTCCCCACCCGAAACTTTCCCCATATATTGTGCGGTAGTAGCACATCGGCTTCAGTATGGACCACCACCAGACCAGTGCTTTATACTATAACTTAGACTTTTAAGATAAACCCTAGCTTACGAACCTGACACGTATATGTACAGGTTCGTAGTTAGGATTGGGGTTTTTTTTTTATGGAGGGGGCATCTATTATGAAAATATTTCTCATGGTGGTCATAAAAAGATAAAGCTTGTAATGGTAACATATATGAATATATAGAAATTTAACGTCATGGGATGATTTAAGTTAAAGAAAATATATTATAATATGCTATAGAAAAAAATAATTTTATTATTAGTAACTGATTTGCTTATTTAATATTCAATTTGTTTGAAGCAAATATTTTACTATCCTATAATATCAAGAAATATTAATAAATTAAAAGCAATAGTGGAGTGCAAATTTACTTTCACCACACTACTGAAGCATTTTGGAGGACCATAGATAAGAAAATGAATGTGAAGTATTATTTGTCCTATTAATCACTTCTTATATTTTATTTCTATCTTACTCTCAACCACCCACCCACCTCTAACACCATTCATTATGTAATGGCATCACGAGAGTCCGCCTAAAACCTTAATCTATATTAACAATATATATAGAACTTATTTTGAAACGAAGGGAGTATTAAAAAGCTTACCGTACTACTTTCATGTTGCAACACAATAGTGTAATATGAGAAGGGGTCAAACTAGAAATTGAAAAGAGAGTTTTAAATCTAGAAGATCTAATCTGACGCGCCTCAAATCACCTCTCCTTGCTTTGCTTCCTTACAACTTGCTATCGGCTACCATTGTTCGCTTGTAGACCAGCTCGAACTACCTTGCTTTGCAACGCTGCTTGCTGTGATCAGGGTCACAATTTCGGAACAAAATTTTTAAAATTTCTGAAATTTTGGTTCTATCGGACCCCCCGATACGATATTATTTTGGCCCAAATTTTTATTTTTTTTCAATTTTTCATGAATTTGGTATTATTTTGTTCAAATTTGATCAAATTTTATTCAATTTTTTTTCGGAAATTTCGGTATTTCGACCACCACTGGTACAAAACACTAAACCTGGTTGTTGTCGATGTTGTCCGCCAATAGCCGCCGCTGGCCGCATGCGCCCCTGCAGGTTTGCCGTCCGTCGCCGATCGATTGATCGCCTGACGTTTGAGAGAGCCAGGTGACCAGGGAGTGCAGATCCTCTGCAGTACTACTGGTGCAGTAGCAGTGGTTGATGTGTAGGCCCTGCAGAGGATCCTTGTTGGTGACCAGGAAGTCAGGAACCCTAGGCAGTTACGATCGCGAGAGGCGGACTGTGGAGAGGGAGTGGAAAGGTGACGCGACCCTTCCTTTTATGATTTCAAGGCTAGGATTTATAGTTTTTTTTCTTCTTTTCTTATTCTTACCGTACACGCCTACTTGGTCCTTGGGCTGGGAAATTTTTGGGTTCTCCGGGCATCAATTAGGCCTGGTTTAGTTCCCCAATTTTTTTTCAAAAAACATCACATGGAATCTTTGACATATGCATGGAGCATTAAAATATAGTTTAAAAAAATTAATTGCACAGTTGAGGGGAAATCGCGAGACGAATCTTTTGAGCCTAATTAGTCCATGATTAGCAATAAGTGCTACAGTAACCCATATGTGCTAATGACGGATTAATTAGGCTCAAAAATTCGTCTCGTGGTTTCTAGGCGAGTTATGAAATTAGTTTTTTAATTCGTGTTCGAAATCCCTTTCCAACATCCGATCAAACATCCGATGTGACAACTAAAAAATTTCTTTTTATGAACTAAAATCGGCCAATATAGTGGTATAAAATCTACCAGATTTAAGAATGGATTTACTGTCGACAGAAGGTAGCAGTTACATAATTATAATTATAATCTACCGGATGGTCATGACGGCTTCTTCTCGAGGGACACAAGCAGAACGCCTCGAGGGTTTTGTGCAAGCTCGTCTTGCAAGCTGCCCTCCAAGCTCCACCGACGCTCCGCCGTCCTCACGAACTCATCCATGATCCCTTCTTTTCCATCGCATCCGGTCGGTCCAAAATGCTGAACAATTATGGGCTCGAATGCGGCTCTCAGCATACTTGCTACCCTTGCCGAGGTGATCAGCGCGCTGTACGCACCACTCGTGAGTTCAGGTACCTGCATCTCCCGTATCAAGAAGGACCCTTCTTCTTGGATGATCTGTCTGATCTCTTCATCGGAAGGTCCGTAAATCGGCATGTAGAATGTTTCAAACTTTTCTTTGTCAATCACACCCTGTCAATTACTCCAAAATCTCAGCTTCTCAGGATGCCATAGATAGTACTAATCATTTGTTCGTTAGCAAATGGTGAAGTTCTAGCAAGGTAAAACAGTTAAATTTACCATAGTGACCATGTCACTTAGGGTCATGGCTGTGGATTCCCATGCGTGCGTGAGTTCGGAGGCGAGATCAACAGATCGCCTGCCTGCAAGTGAGAGTACCATTCGGCCTCCTGGGACCAGTTCTACAGCCCTCATCTTCAGAAACGCCATGAAATCCTTCCTGAACTGCCGTGCATAAGCCCCAACGACCACGGCTCGTCTCTCTCTCCTCACGTTCGCGTCAACGTCGTATGCCGGAATTCCGTTCATCTTCAGATCTTCAGGAGCCTGCTGCCATGAAATTGAAACAAAATTTTCGCCTCAAAGAATAATAAATTCAGAATGCATGCTGGTGATCAGTACTGTATGATTCAAATTTTTATTATTTTCTAAACTTTTTATTTAAAAATAAACTTTTATAAAACTTATTTCAAATTCTGAACCTTTTAATTACGCTAACGTGACAAATAACAATGTCTGCACCACCCATATCGAGCGTGATAGTTTTGTTCTATCACGACAGTCATGGTGTGTGGTAGAACAACGCTGTCATGCCAGACAAACTAGCGTGACAATGTTGTTTTGCCTCTGTTAGTATGGTTAGAAGGTTCGTATGCTCAAAATAAGTCTTAAAAAGGTTACTTTTATTATAGAAGAAAAAAAATCTTAGGATTTCTGACCTCGGAGAGCCAGTGGAGGCTGTTGGACGAGCAGACGAGATGCAGGGATTCAGCGGCGAAGAGCCTCCCGTAGAAGGAGCCAGGCACGACGCCGGTCAGGAGGACAGGCTCGTCGCCGTTGTTTCGCCTGAACTCCACGAGGCTCTTCACCACCGTGGCGAAGTCGTTGTCGGGGAGATCGTTGAGGAGTACGCAGAGCTCCGCCGGTGGCGGTGGCCGCCGGAGCGCGAGGCACCGGCGGCGGAAGGCGTCGACGGCGATCGACGCGAGCGCGAGCGCGTTCGGGCCGGATGAGCAGCCCAGGTCGGCGATCACCATGCTTCTGCTGCATACGAGGTCGGCGATGGCGTCTTCTATCAGCGGCCTCATCCTGTTCTGTTCAGCGTTCTGCAGGTGCGTTTTACTCGGGATTAACAGCTTTTCTGAAAGCCAAAAAATTTCGGGGGTGACTATAAACCCGAAATTAAGAAAATTTCGGAATATATCGGTCCGAGAACATTTGTATTTTGAGCAAATTTGAAGACATTTTGCAAACTTCTTTTACTTTATCGAAAAGTCTGACTTATATATGTTCAGTTGATTTTCATTTTTTCTCTCTATAAAAAAAAATAATAATTACATTCTTCCTCTAAGCAGAAAAGATCATAGGCAATTGTTGATTAACTAAAAAAAATTGTAGATTAACTAATTAAGAGCAGAGAAACGACCTGAAGAATGGAGTTTCGAGCATAGCTTGTTTCCCCTTGGCCTCGATTCATATGTACCATCTGTTTGGATGCCATGGTTTTTGCCTAATTTGCTTGGAGCAGCGCTGAACACCAGATACTTCATCTGCTAGCTAGAGCTAGCTAGAAAAAAACGCAGATCTTGTAGTTGTACACTCACCGGCGAACACTAGGTATATTCTTTTCTGTGCCAATCATATGGCATAACTATTCTGGCTGCTAATATATAGACATTTGGCACAATTAATTAATGCCATCCTGCTTCCTTTTCAATTATAGAATTAGTACATATGGAGTCTGAAAGTTTCAGCGGTACGAAATATCAACACACGATCATTTTCGTAGCACCATCAACATGTCACCATCAGTTGGCCTGTTTGTTGCGGCGTTATCTACACCACTGCCGCCACAATATCCTAGTTAGCCTCGGGAAAAAGTTTAAGGTCCATTAATGTACATACTACATCCATCCTAAAATAATTATCGCTTTAAGTTTTTATTTACAATGTTTGATCATTCATTTTATTAAAAAATAAAATCATTATTTATTTTGTTTATAGCTTGCTTTATTATCAGAAGTACTTTAAGTATAACTTATCCTATTTTATATTAATACTAATTTTTTAAATATAAGACGAATGGTCAAACGTTACAAACAAAAAGTCAAAGACACTACTTATTTGAGACGGAGGTAGTACTATTATTATTGTCCCTAGTTGGCCTAATCTACACAACACCCGAGCACAATGACAATTGCTCATTCCCAAAATAAGGCCAAAAATAGAGTAGGTGTAAATTTTCAGGAATCGCACTTTGAAAATCTCATATAAAAATGCTAATATACAATCGATTGTATATATATGACATCTTGTCACAAATGGATTAAAGATGGTAACAGAATTTCAGTTATTTCATGTCTTAGATTATCAGTCATATCTTGTTTACCAATATTAACTTGTGCAAAAGCAGTGCCAAGGAGCACTGTTTTGATTCTTATTCTCACTTAGGAGTAAGTAATAATGAAATTGGAGAAAGGAGCATGCACAAGCCACTGGTGGAGAAACCATCTTTGGTCGGTCGACCAGATTTCACAGTAGTCTCGGTTGTATTAAAAACCGGGACTAAAAATATCTTTAGTCCTGGTTTAAAAGCTCCAGGGGTACTTTCCAATCTTTAGTACCAGTTGGTGTTACCAACTGGGACTAAAGATCTATTTGTAGTCCTGATTGATAACACCAACCGAGAAAAAAGATCGCCATATACTCTTCACCACCTTGAAGCTCTGGAATTGTTCTGCCATTTTCTTCAGAGTCCACTGTTTCACTATGTTCTCCGTACCTGCGGGTAGCGTGAACGTCTCGAGCATTGTGGTCCACATCATCTCTTTCTCTGATTCTGGGACAAAGCTGTCATTATCCCCGCGTGCCCTTGTTCTGCGCCAGTACACCGTGCTGACAGGCACGTTATCCCTCACAACCCAACCACTGTGGCGTACAAAATTCTTGGCTGCTTCTACCGGGGCACTAGGTCGGCCGTCTTCGTCCACCTTAGTTATGATGTGCCGACCCTCTATCTTCTTCGCGGCACCTCGTTGTCCACGTGCCCTCTTCTGTCCAGCGGAGGGATGACTTCCACTAGCCTCCTCCTCCTCGTTCCCCTCCGCATCCCTCTCCACGTTCCCCTCCTCGTTCAAGTACTGGTTTGGATCCTCGTTCAAGTACTGGTTTGGATCCTCGTTCCCCTCTTCTTCGTTCCAGTACTGGCTGCTTCCCTCTGCAATTGTATCGTACAGTATCTGTTCCTCATCGCGATCAGCCATCTGTGCATACAAAAATATTTGTTAAGTCTATAGGTCATATTTGCTAAGCGTAATATTAAAACTCTACTAATCTTATATTAAATATCTAATAATCTTATATTAAAATTGTAGTAATCAAATATGCTAAGTCTAACAATCTTATATTAATACTCTAATAATCTTATATTAAAATTGTAATAATCATATACGCTAAGTCTAACAATCTTATATTAAATCTCTAATAATCTTATATTAAAATTGTAATAATCATATATGCTAAGTCTAATAATCTTATATTAAAATTGTAATAATCATATATGCTAAGTCTAACAATCTTATATTAAATCTCTACTAATCTTATATTAAAATTGTAATAATCATATATGCTAAGTCTAACAATCTTATATTAAATCTCTAATAATCTTATATTCAAACTATAATAATCTTATAATCTTATATTAAAACTCTAATAATCTAATAATCTTATATTAAAACTCTAATAATCTTATATTAAATCTCTAACAATCACTTCTTTACATCACTTGCCTGCGCGAATTCCTTCGATGGCTAGCTACCACTTCGGCTTGAGGGACAACGATGACGTCTTCTCTGCAACATTACTAGGAAAATGTATTAGTCTAAACGGGCCAAGTTACATATATTGTATTTCACGTTTTAACCTATATATATAATCATATATGTATGCTAAGTTTAATAATCGTTTAATTATCTCGTTCGTACACGTTTCGCTCGCGTTCGTTCTCACACTCTTAGTACAAGTGCATTCACGTTCGTAAGCGTTTCGTTCACGTTCATTCACGTTCGTTCGCGTTCGTTAACGTTTCGTTCACGTTCTACCACTTCGTTAACGTTTCATTCACGTTCGTTCACGTTATACCACTTCGTTAACGTTTCGTTCACGTTCGTTCGCGTTCGTTCACGTTCGTTAAGCGTTCGTTCATGTTCGTCCATGTTTCGTTCACGTTCGTTCGCGTTCGGTCACGTTTCAATCACGTTCGTTCATGTTCGGCAATGTCGGGGTGCGCGGCAGTGGCGGCGGCGGAGCTGTGGCGTGGCGGCGGCGTCTCGTGGTGGCGTGGGGGCGCGGTCCGTCACCGTGGGGCACCCCGGCGGCGTGGGGGCGCGGCGGCGGCGTGGCGTAGCGGCCCGGCGGCGTTGCGCGGCAGCGTGGCGAGCTCGAGGCGGGGGCGGCGGCGTGGCAGTGGCGTCGGCGTCGTCGGTGGTGGCGGCCGTGTCGAAGTTGGTCGTTGGCGGTGGCGGTTGAACGCGGCGTGGCAGTGGCGTCGGCAATGAGCTAGGCGGCGGTGGTTTGGAGAGAGAGAGAGGCAGCGGCGGCTCTCACCCAAGAGATGCGGCAGCGACGTCTACAGCAGAGGCGGCGAGGACCGCCAAGCGACGGCGAGAGACGACGGCGGCGTCGGCGCGGGGTTGCCCTAGGCAGTGGCGGCGAAGGAGAAGCCGAGATCGATCTCGATGGAAAAACGTCTAAGTGTTGGTGGAGAAGACGAGGGCGCATTGGGAATATATATACCCCTAGATCTTTAGTCCCGGTTGGTGAGAACATCCGGGAGTAAAGATATCTTTACTCCCTGTTCGTAAGAGCAACCGGGACTAAAGATCGGTTGCTCTTAAGATCTTTAGTCCCGGTTGCTCTTACGAACCGGGAGTAAAGATATCTTTACTCCCGGATGTTCTCACCAACCGTGACTAAATATCTTTTCCCGCTATTTCCAAATTCTTTTTAAACCCGATTAGGGTTAAGAACCGGGACTAAAGATGATAGCACTGAATTTTGAATTTCAGAACATATGTGTTTCTAAAATAGTAAATAATACATTACAATTATTTAAAGTCGAAAAATTAATGACAAAACCTTCGAAAAATTATTGTTGTCTATAGTAAACTAAGTGGATAATATATAATAAGCACATGAATGATTTAAAATTGTTAAAAATTCTAATAATCATATATAATTAGCATATGCATGATATTAAATTATTAAAAATTCTAATTAACATATGTAAGTACCACATGCATGATTTAAAATTAATAAAAATTCTAATAATCATATATAATTAGCATATCATGATATTAAATTGTTGAAAATTCTAATTAACATATGTAAATACCACATGCATGATTTAAAATTAATAAAAATTCTAATAATCATATATAATTAGCATATCATGATAATAAATTGTTGAAAATTCTAATTAACATATGTAAATACCACGTGCATGATTTAAAACTTTTAAAAATTCTAATAATCATATATAACTAGCATATGGATGATTTCAATTTGATAAAAATTTTAATAATCATACATAATTAACATATGCCATACAACAATTGATTTGTATGGATATTCAACACATCCAAAATAGTTTACATCGTGTACACAACAATTACGGCAATACATCGGCGGTGACGGTTGACCACGCATACTTTCTCCTCACTATTGTTCCTTCCTTGTGATCGCTACATGAGTAAGGGGTTTCTTCATTTGATAGGAGGATGCTAGGGTCAATCGTCACCGTGAAAGGGGGTTGCCCATCAAACTGATCGTAATCCTCATCAGTCTTGTCCTCTACTCCGACGATTTTTCTTTTTCCTGGGAGAACCACGTGGCGCTTCGGGTCGTCAGGCCCTTTGCCCTTTTTTCCTTTGCTAGACATGTCCTTGACGTAAAAAACTTGCATTACATCATTGGCGAGGACAAAAGGTTCGTCCGAGTATCCAACCTTGTTAAGGTCAAACGTTGTCATACCACTGTCATCAATCGTTACGCCTCCACCAGTCAACCTAACCCATTGGCACCAGAACAGAGGGACCTTGAGAGGTCCATAGTCAAGTTCCCATATGTCCTCGATGGCACCGTAATACGTGCCAGTTGTACCATCGTGTCCCATGGCATCGATACGAATAGCACTGTTCCGGTTCGTGCTCTTCATGTCTTGGGCTCTCGTGTAGAATGTGTACCCATTGATTTCATATCCTTGGAATGTCGCGATCGAGCCAGATGGTCCCCTCGTCAGGAAGGCCAGTTGTTGGTTAATCGTCTCGTTACCTATGAGATGTTGTCGCAGCCACGCGGAGAAAGTATCAATGTAATGCCGTGTAATCCAGGCATCGGACTTATCGATGTTTCTGGCGTGAACTAGAGCCAAGTGCTCCTCGATGTAGGGAGCCACCAATGAAGATTGTTGCAGAACCGTGAAATGGGCTTTACGAAATAAATTGTTGTCTACCGTCATTATTGCTTTCCTTCCGAGAGTCCCCTTTCCCCGTAGTCTCCCTTCATGGCGTGATTCAGGTACCCCGATTGGGCTAAGGTCTTCGATAAATTCTACGCAGAATTCAATGACCTCCTCTGTTCCATACCCCTTAGCGATGCTTGCCTCTGGACGAGCACGGTTACGAACATACTTCTTCAGAATGCCCATGTACCTCTCGAAAGGAAACATGTTGTGCAGGTACACAGGGCCGGGAATACCGATCTCTTTGACAAGGTGACAAAGCAGATGCGTCATTATATTAAAAAATAAAGGTGGAAATATCAACTCAAAACTGACAAGACATTGCACCACATCATTCTGAAGGGCTTCTAATCTATCCGGATCGATGACCTTCTGCGAAATTGCGTTCATGAAAGCACATAGCTTTGTTATTGTTGCCCGGACATTGTCTGGGAGGATACCCCTTATTATAACTGGTAGCAGCTGTGTCATCAACACGTGACAGCCATGAGACTTTTGGTTTGTGAACTTCTTCTCCTTCGTGCTTATTATTCGCTTTATATTCGTGGAGTATCCTGACGGTACCTTGATGCTCTCTGAGCATTCAAACATACTTTCCTTCTCTGCCTTGCTAAGAGTGTAGCTGGCTGGACTCAAGTAATGGCTTCCTTTCTCCTTTGGTTCCGGGTGAAGGTCGCCGCATTGTTCCATATGCTTCAGATCATTACGTGCTTCTAGTGTATCTTTCGACTTTCCATATACACCTAGGAAGCCAAGAAGGTTTACGCAAAGGTTCTTAGTGAGGTGCATCATGTCGATTGCGTGGCGGACGTCCAAGAATTCCCAATAGGGTAACTCCCAAAATATGGAGTTTTTTTTCCACATCGCCGCGTGACCATCTTCGCTCTCTATAGGCTGGCTGCCAGGCCCCTTTCCAAATACTACTTTAAGATCTTTCACCATAGCAAACACTGTTTTACCGCTGCGATGTTTTGGTTTCGTACGGTGGTCCGCCGTATGTTCAAAGTGCTTGCCTTTCTTCCGTACCGGGTGGTTTGCTGCAAGGAGTCAACGATGACCCATGTACATAACCTTCCTACAGTGCTTAAGATACGTACTTTCTGTTTCATCCATATAGTGAGTGCAAGCCTTGTACCCCTTGTTGGACTGCCCGGATAGGTTGCTAAGTGCATGCCAATCGTTGATGGTTACAAACAGCAGCGCTCGTAGGTTAAACTCCTCCTGTTTGTCCTCGTCCCACACGGGGACACCTTCCTTCTTCCACAACAGTTTAAGATCTTCGACTAGTGGTCTTAGGTACACATCGATGTCGTTACCAGGTTGCTTGGGGCCTTGAATAATAATCGGCATCATTATGTACTTCCTCTTCATGCATAGCCAAGGGGGGAGGTTGTAGATACACATCGTAACGGGCCAAGTGCTATGGCCGCTGCTCATCTCCCCAAAAGGATTCATGCCATCCGTACTTAAACCAAACCGTTTGTTACGTGCGTCCTTTCCAAAGTCTTTAAATTTTCTGTTGATGTTTTGCCACTGCGAACCATTGGCGGGGTGTCTCAGCATCCCGTCCTATTGACGCTCTTCAGCGTGCCAACGCATCATTCTAGCATTCCCCTTGTTCTTGAACAAACGCCTTAGCCGTGGTATTATAGGGAAATACCACATCACCTTAGCAAGAATTATCTTCTTCGTTAGCTGCCCGTCAACTTCTCCTGGATCATCTCGTCTAATCTTGTATCGTAGTGCTTTAAAAATAGGGCATGCTTCTAGGTTCTCGTACTCCTCACCGCGATATAGGATACAATCATTCGAACATGCGTGAATCTTCTGAACTTCCAGTCCTAGAGGGCAGACTATCTTCTTAGCATCGTACGTTGTCTCGGGCAATTTGTTTCCCTCCGGAAGAATGTTCTTGACGAGTTTCAATAAATCGCCAAATGCCTTGTCACTAACACCATTTTTATCCTTCCATTGCAAGAACTCTAGAGTGGTATCCAACTTTTTGTGCCCCTGCTCGCAACCTGGGTAAAACGACGTTCTGTGGTCCTCTAACATCTTGTCCAATTTATGGGCCCCCTTTTCACTTTCGCAGTCCTCCTTGGCGTCCTGCAACATCTAACCAAGATTATCCGCAACGTCGTTACAATCAGTATCCCTTTCCTCCTCGCCCGTTTGATTTCCTTCAAATCCAGTGTACTGAGCAAAGTCCGGAATATTGTCGTCTTCCACTTCATCTTCTTCCATTTCAACCCCTTGCTCTCCGTGGGATGTCCAACAGTTATAGCTTGGCATGAACCCCGACTCAAACAAGTGGAAATGAATAGTCCTAGATGCACAATACTCCTTCTAATTCTTACACTTATTGCATGGACAACAAATAAAACCCTTATGCCTGTTAGCTTCGGTCACTCTCAAAAAATAATGCACGCCGTCAATAAACTCTTTGGACCACCAGTCAGCGTACATCCATTGCCGATCCATCTACATGAAATGAAAAAAAATCGTACACAAATAATTATTCGTACAATAATAACAGTCATACAATAATGATAAAATAATTACAAACTCTTTCAACAGTCATACAATAATGACATATCATTATTCATACAAAAATTATAAAATATTCCACCAAATAATTCTTATTTACTATTTCTAAAGTTTTAAACTAATATTAATGTGTTTTACTTCTTTTAATTTTCATTTTAGTTTGTTTTCTATTATTTAAGATTAACTTTCACTATATTTTCCTTCTCAACTATTTTATAAAACCTTCTTTAGCAAATAAACTAAATTTCTATATATTCTTTCTTCCCCACACACATTTTCTCTCTCATCAACTTACAACAAAATTTTGGAGATAAAAAGTGTGCAAAACATAGCTCCAAATGTAATATGACAAAAAAAAATATTGGAGTATGAAGTTGCTAACCTTTTAGGTACCTCCGATTTGTATATAATCACCAAAATAAATTCACTAGAAATTTTGGCATGACCTCTCCTCTTTTTTGAATAAATTTTGAAGCTTGCTCGGGCTGGAGGAGGAGGAAGACATATATAAAGGGGTGGGACTTTAGTCCCAGTTGGTGTTAAAAACCGGGACTAAAGATCCCGGGGGGGCCTGACAAGCCCTGACAGCATTTGACTTTAGTCCCGGTTGGTGTTACCAACCAGGACTAAAGATCAAATATGCCTCTTTAGTCCCGGTTTTTGTTGCAACCGGGACTATTGTGGAATTCGGCAGACCGACGAAAGATGGTTTCTCCACCAGTGTAGATAGAATTTTTTTTCACCATCTATATAGAATAAAATCGGAGAGTCGCGTGAAAAATGGTTTGGTAGTGTTCCTATCCACTTCGATTTGTGTATATCTTGTCCGCCGGTACAAATTAAGGAATTCACATCGTTTGCCTATACTAGCAAAACGATTGCAATATTTCATGCACAAGAAAAGTAAGGATCGAATTGTAAATAAGCGTTTGTTCTTCTTTTACCCATACAACATCCTTCTCGCGAGTATCATTCACCTAGAAAAGCAACCTGCGAGACATTTGCTTCCACACAGCTCACACCATCGTGCATTGTATGGTCGCACTGTGGAAATATTTGAAATGACGATTGGGCTAGCCTGCAAGTCCAATTTGAGTACAAGTACGTCAAATAGAAAGAAAAAAAATCATACTCCAAATATATCTTTGTTATTTATGTCAGCATATTTGCAGGAAACATATATATATATATATATATATATATATATATATATATATATATATATATATATATATATATATATATATATATATGACTTCTATCTGTTCCCACTTTTGTCATCATGTGTGTTCGGCATTTTTGCCATTGAACGATGCAAAACACATGATTTGTTTGAACTGAAGAACACATATAATTGTTTTTCCCTAAAATCACATGTAATTTGTTGGTCGTTCCGTAATCAAAAGAATGACACAAAGTCTACTTAAAGCATGACAAGAAATCCAAATTTATATGGGCACAAAACAGAAAAGTGGGATCACCGCAATAATGTCAATCCCATATTTATCAGCAGCAACCTAAGGCCACTTTTAGTGTTATCTTTTCCATTTGTTGGTATATATTCAAGTTTGTAAGTAATTAACATTTATGATGTTTCCAAAGTATAAATCTGGTATATTATATTTGAAATTTCGGCTCCCATGAATATGGTACACTGAACAACTTTTACCCCTATAATACAGAAACGCACTTCCCTGCCAGTTCAAAACCTGACCATGATGCAGGTTATGAACCGGTTGTATGTTTAAATCCATAGAGGATAATAGCCAAGTGCTAAACCAGCTGCGATGCCAGTGATAACTACTGCGCGATTCAGCGCTAGAACTATCATTGATAGGGTCTTCGGGTAAAAAAATCATTTAATGGTCCGGACACAATTGGCAGTTGGCAAGACTGGACGGTCGAGACAATACGCATATTGTATTAACAAAGTACACAAATTATTAGCAGCTAACATTTTTCTAAAATATTCACAAAGTACACATATTCAAGGCCAAAGTAAAATGGGTTTGAATATAATTAGTTCACATATATTTATTTTACAATCTTTAGTTAATTTATCGAGTAGCAGTTGAAGGCCAAGTTTGGTGTATATCTTTTGCATTTAGGTCACTGCATTAGTTAATGTATATATGCAATCCAGGTATGAAAATATTGACATTTATTATGTTTCCAAACAATTAATTAATAAGCTACATTTTAAATCCCACCTCTACATTAATCCCTACTACGCTCACCAACAATCGGTATTTAATTTACTCAATTCTATCTTGGTCCTAGTATCCCAGGGTTAAGTTTAAGCAAAAATCCATTTCGCAATTAAAGCGCTCCATATATCTTCGATTCGATATCAAGCCGCTCCACGCACCTACCTTTGACCCTCCCCACTATAAAAAGGCCTCCCCTATCGATCCAAAGTCGCACATAAGACCATAGAATAACTAGGAATTATTAGTGTTCCCCCTTTCTTCTTCTTCTTTCTTCCTAGCTAGAATCCATGGCTTCATCAATGGAGGACAACCATTCCAACTCCTCACAGTCCTTATGGCGGCTTAGTCTCTTCTACCCTTATCTTGAAAGCGTCATAGCGGATGTGCAGTCCAGCGTCCTAGTAGACCCTGTCTACATATGCGTAGAGTGCAGCGAGGTGCACAGAAACCAGCAGACCATGGCTGCACATTGCAGGTCTCACATCCGTTCAGATGGCATGGAGAAGGGCACTGTCAGGCACATCAAGTACAACCCTGACCATACCTTCTCCCTGCTGTGCCATCAATCGTCGAACAAGATCTACTACCAGGTGACAGTCCCAAATTATCCCAATAACCCTAACTCTTCTGAGATAGGAGTAGTTTGGGCGTCAGATATACTGAAGAAATGCGTAGATCTTGGCTATCTTCAGCACCCAGCATCAGTCAATGCCAGTAGCGCTGTTTTTGTTCCAGCTGCTACACCAACAGCGCTTGATCTGACACTTAGGTTGGGTCCTAGATCTACTGCTGGTAGCACGAATCGGCAGATCGTAGAAGCCCTTTTTGCTGGGTCTGGAGGTTCAGCGTGACTGCTGCGAAGATCGGCGATGAGCGCAAATGAATGGAGGAGTTAATTAAATGCATGGTTGGATCTGCCATTGGATTAGTTGGAGGCTGAGATAAGAGATTCAGAACTGATAATTTAGGTTCTGATGAGCTGAGTGCGTGCGTCTATGTTTTTTTTTCCCCATTAGTTATTTGTTAGCAACGTTTCTAGTTCAGTTTTGAATGTGGTAAAAGTTCGAAGTATCAATCATCTGTATCTCTGTGCTCGATCTGAAAGGGAAAAAAATATCAGTTGCTTCAATGTTAATCATTCAAGTGCATCAGTGATCTATAAATTAATTTAATTTGGTCCATCGTCTTGATATAGATCTTTATTATCGATCCGAATAACAATTATTTTTCTTATGAGTTCTATTCATTCTCGGATTTTTATCTCACAGATTTTTTATCACTACACCAGATCCTCACATCTCTGACGGGATACCTGTGACGGGCAAACGAAATGGTCACTGATGACCATCACCTCTGACGGGTCATACGGGATGCCGTCATCGGTGAGGCATCCAGCTGCGACCCGTCACAGGTAACTAGTCACCTGTGACGGGTTAAAAATAGAACCCGTCACAGGTGAGGTTACCTCACCTCAAACGGGTTTAAGTCCTAACCCGTCACAGGTGACTAGTTACCTGTGACGGGTCGCAGCCGGACAGCACGTCAGAGGTGAGGTTTACTCACCTCAAACGGCTTTAAGTTCCAGCCCGTTTGAGATGACTTCTGCCACTGTATATATATGTCTCCTCTCCCAGCGGGGCCCACATGAGGAGATAAGGTCGGCCGGCTCCCTCTTCTCCACTTCTCCTCTATCTCCTCCACTTCTTCTCTATCTCTCCTCTCTTTCTCTGTGCCGTGGCGAGGGGAGGCGCGGCGGCGCCGGGCCGGCTGGGGCGGCGGCGGCCCGGCCGCCAGATCCGGCAGGGGTGGGAGGGAAGGCGCGGCGACACCGAGCCGGCGGGGGTGGTGGCGGCGGCCCAGCCGCCAGATCCGACAGGGCGGGAGGGGAGGCGTGGCGGCACTGAGCCGGCGGGGGCGGCGGCGGCAGGCCGGCCACCAGATCCGGAAGGGGCGGGTGGGGAGGCACGGCGGCGGTCCAGCCGCCAGATCCGGCAGGGGCGAGGGGAGGCGCGGTGGCGGACGACGGATCTGGAGCCGTGGCGCGTTGGCGGCCGATGGCAGGAGGGGAGGCGGCTGAGGCCCGACGGCGGCAGCGGTCTCCATCTCCGCCGCCTCTGCCGGCGACGCCTCCAGCCGCGCCTCCGCCTCTACCCGCGCTAGCCGGCCGCCACCTACACCTCCACCTCCGCCGACGCCTCCCCCCGCCTCCCGGCCGCCAACGCCACCGACGCCTCCCCTCCCGTCATCGGCCAGCCCCGCGCCACCGCGCCTCCCCTCCCGCCCCTGTCGGATGTGGGAGATCTCCGGCGGATCTTCTTCGTCCCTGAGCTCCGGCGGCCGCTTCTTCGTCCATGAGGACCGGTGGTGGTCGCCGGTGGTCGCCTCGAGGTGGTTGGCGCCAGATCCGGTCTCCAGGTGGTTGGGGACCACTGGATCTGGAACCCCCGGTCTCCGACCGCTGCCTCCTTCACCGTCCGAGCTCCTTCGCCGGTCGCCGCCTCCTTCACCTTCTTGACGCCAGGTCCGCCGCCTCCATCCATTGCCAGCAAGTCCTCTTTCACTCATGTATTTTGTCTTGTGTTGTTCATATTGTTCCAATTGTTGCTACTATGATTGATGATTCTGAGTCCTATGGTGATTGAGATTCTTGTGGTTTTGTTTTGTGATTGGGACAACTGCGATGGAACAAAGAAGAACTGTGACGATTTTTTTGATTTGTGAATGCCAAATGCAATCGGTCGAAATGAATGTGCTGGTAACCTAGGAGGACGGTGTTTCTCTTTTTTTCCCCCCTTTTTTCACACCAGTGACGGTCCCAATTAGTTGGGCCGTTTGAGGTGACTCTCACCTGTGACGGGTTTTGGTTGGGACCAGTCAGAGGTAACTCTCACCTGTGACGGGTTTTAGTTGGGGGCCGTTTGAGGTGGCTCTTACTTCTGACGGGTCTTCACCCGTCACAGGTGACTCAAGTCATCACTGACCACTAATCTCTGACCAGGAGCTGAACCTGTCAAAGTTGAGGGTTTGAGCCCGTCAGTGCTGACATGATCCAGTGTAGTGTATTTTGGCAAGTACCTGAGCCGAATACCAAATTACCAATAACTAGGTAGCATGGGATAGCTTCTTCTGTGATATAAATTGATCCTTAGCAGAAGAACGTACTACCTTTCAATTTAGCAGGACCAATAAATATAATAATCATACATGGTTCTATATGGTTTGCCCAGACATATATACTTATATATCTGAGTATTATGTAGCCGGATCTACTGGATTATGAACGATTTTAGAGGTTATTACTAAAAGTTTAAAACAAGTTTTTTTTGTCTTCCTGCACCAAAAGGTTTACTTGGTAGTTGATACTACTGGAGTTCCTGAGGCTGCTTTGCACCAAAAAAAAAAATCTGTTGTTTGTCCACGGCCAGACATTAAAACTGAATTAATTAGCGCTCATTTAATCCTCTTCTTCCAATGTTTTGTGTGTTAGGATACAGAAGCAATATATATTCCATCATTTTTTTTAATTTAAATTTCATCTTGCACTACAGGCTGGAGATATGTTGTAGTTTCAGGACGGTGATGAAAGTATAAACTCGATCTGAAACTTCACACTTTTCTTGAGATTGGAGTGTTGGGCTATCTTCCAAATTGTCTGCCATGCGAATTATGCGGTTGACATGATCGAAGAGAATTAGTGTGCAGTTTGATGACCCTCTTGTTGACAAAAAATACGGTTCAGAGTTTGTTTTTTCGGAATGGCTATATGGCTGGCAAATGATTTTTGAGACCAAAATCATGCAGATTACTGACCTTGGGATCTGCTTTGCGATTCGTGCTCCGATGGCCTTAGCTCTTCTCCTCCAACTCCAGTGACACCTTCTCCAACTCTAGCGACCCAACAAAAGCAATGGAATTAGGTTTTAGGGTCCTGGGTTGGGATGGGGGTGGCAGGGGGGTTGGGGGGAGGGGGAAGAGGGGGGATAACCGGGCTTAGAGGGATAGCCGTGGGAGGCGGCGGTCCGGTGGTCCGGCGGTGGGCGGTGGACACAGGCGGGTGGCGAGGCGACCGCGGCGGCGCCGAAGCCGCGGGGATGGAGGAGGGCGGTGGGCCGGTGTCGGTGGCGGGGGCAAACGGCTAGGAGACAGCGGATCCGGTGGTTAGTGGTTAGGAGGCGGTGGCTAGTGGTGGCGGATCTGGCGGCGGGAAGCCGCCAGATACAGTGAAGACGGCAGGGCGGGGGCACTCGTGCCGTCCGTTGGGGAAGAGAGGAGGAGGCCGGCCGGGGAGGGGGGAGGAGGGGGGCTCACCAGCGTCGTTGACCCCTTTCGGCCAGCCGACGAGTCCGGGCGGCGGCGGAGTCAGCCGCACACGAGAGGATGCTGCGGCGGCCTGGAATGACGAGGGGAGAGATAGGGGTTTAGGGTTAGAACTGCCTGCACGAATCTTAAAGCGATCCAACGGTCTAGAATTTGTATGATTTGTGAGGTGTTTTTCTGTCAAATGCCACTTGTTCTTTTTACATATAGTATATATGTATTAGGAGTTCAGATTAATTGCTCAGCCGTTATGGTGAGGCGCTGGAGATTATTTCTGTTTGGCAATACATAATGGATCGGTGACAAGGGATCTCTTTGCTGTATGCCTAGCTATTCCATGATTGAAAACTGATATCTCGCAATGAGCCAGAACTGAGATTAATTACGACAGAAATAAAAATATCCAGTTGTACCATCTTTGCCTGAAGTTACAGCCAATTCCACTGAATCGTAAGTTTTAATTATAAGTGTCCAGCCTCATGAAAAAGTGCCAGCTCGATCTTTCTTAGTTTTTGCAGAATTTTCACGAAAAATGAAATTCTCATGAAACACCCCCATATTCTTGATGATTGAAGGCACTAGGCTCTTTGAGTCTATATATCCCCTGGGATGGATATATTGTTTCCTTTTTGAAAGTAGCAAAATATTTGCCAACTTTAAAAGATGGCAGAGTTCCAAATTAAAAAAAAATCTATGAGTTTAAGTCCACCCGTCACAAAAAATACATTTTTCCGTAGGTTGCTTACAGGACCAACAGAAAATACCACGGCTCACAGGGAAGCTGAGTCTAGTAATGACGACTCTACAGCTGTGACTAATAGTACAGCATCTTTCATAAAATTTGCGAACATTTTATAGAAACCCATCGAGAAATAATATTCTACAATATATATGCCATCGACAAGAGGTCAATTTTCCGATTTTCCATCTACAGATACGAGTTCTACAATATTCCACCTACTTCCCCCTTTTCCCATTTCCATTAGTTAATATCCATTAGCTGTTTGGAATTTTATTCACAGTGCTCAAAGTACTCTCGAGAGAGAAGAAATTAAAAGGCACTTATACGGTGGCATAGTAGAATTCAGTTTCGTTGATGGAGAAAACATAGAATTGAGGATTTGTCAATGGCTTTTTGTCATATAGTTTCTCAAACATTGATCCAGCAATGAAACTGACTTGGGACTTTGTCTCTCTTGTTTAATTTGGCGTGGAAAATTTTGATGTCAGCATCCCCACACTGGTGGAGAAACCATCTTTGATCGGTCGACCCAAATCTACAATAGTCCCAGTTCCATTTAAAACCGGGACTAAAAACGATTTTTAGTCCCGGTTTATAAGAACAACAGGACTAGATGATCTTTATTCCCGGTTTGTATGACCAACCGGGACTAAAAATCATCTTTAGTCCCGGTTGGTAATACCAACCGGGACTAAAGATGATTTTTAGTCCCGGTTGGTTCCATGTCAGACCGTGTCAGGCGTTTAGGATCTTTAGTCCCGGTTTGTAACACCAACCGAAACTAAAGATAGAATTTTTAGTCCCGGTTGGTGTTACAAACCGGGAATAAAAATCAACACGTACTATATAATCCCTATTACTTATCCTCTTTTCTCGTCCACACAACAAACTCTCTCTTTCTTTCTTCCTCTCTAACTCCTGCCTTATCTCTTTCTTCCTTCCCTGCTCTTTCTTCCTTCCTCTCTTCTTTTTGGATCGGGCGGGCCGGGCGGCGGGCGGCGCGGCCGACGTGGCGGCAGCCGGCGCGGCGGCGCGCGGGGCCGCGCGGCGGGGCGGCGGCCGGCGCGGCACGCGGCGCGGAGGGCCGCGGGGAGGCGCGGCCGACGGGGCGGCGGCCGGCGT